CTTAGGAATGGCAACGGGCCGGGGCGGGGCCGGGGACCACACTCCCCGTTCCCGATCCCCGATGATAAAAACTTCCCCGTCCCCGGCCCCGATCCCCGATGGGGAACCTATCAGAGTCTCCGTCCCCGCCTCCAACGTCCTTTTTTTTTTTTTTTTTTTTGAGTTACATCAATATTTTATTTTTTAACACATCTTTTTATATAAAATCAAAATATCACTAAAATCCCCAAACAACTATTAAAACAAAGAAAAATAAAAATACAACAAAGCTCAAAGGCGCAAATAAAGAAATCCTTCACGAGCAAAAAATGGCCAAAAAATAGTTTGCCATTTTGAAAAAATTTGTTTGGTTACGTTTTTTCAAAAATACTTTTCAAAAAATTTTACTTTCTTATTTTTCGTATTTTTTTTATTTTTACTAAATTTTTTTAATATTTTAAGTAATTTTTTTTTTTACTTTTTAGACATACCTAATATAGATATATTTAAAAAGTAAAAAATTTGTGAAAAAAATCTTTTAAAAATTCACTAAATACAAAAAATATAAAAAAATACCAGAATTCAGTACATTTTTTTTGTATTTTTATGTATTTATTAATTTTTTAAAATATTTTTTCACAATTTTTTAATTTTTTAGATACATCTAAGTAAGGTGCATATAAAAAAGTAAAAAAAATATTTAAAATTTTAAAAATATTCACTAAAAAAAATCAAAAAACTTAATTTTTAAAAAAATTTATCAAAAAAACTCAAACCCAACACTCTGAATCTTCTCACAAATACAATTTACAGAAACAAAATATACATCAAACCAAGGCCTTATTTGTCATAATCAAAAAAAGTTAAAAAATTAAAAAATTACTATCGTATTTAAGTCACATCATCTTATTTAAGTCACATCACCTCTCTACCAAATCACTTTAAACCCAATCCATATCCAACTTATATTTTATAAAAAATCAAGAAATACACTTATTTAAATCATCCTAAACCACCCCTTAAAACCATACATGTTGTCGTCATCGTCTTTAACGCCGTTGTTCAAACTCCACTGCCACTATCGTTGCGAACCTCGGTAATCAAAGCTTAAAAACACCAACAATGATAAACGAAAAAGGGCACCATTATAAATTAAACTAATGAGCTTTGCTAACCTTTCTCCAAAAGAAGATGGGTAGCTGTTTTTTCAAATATAAAATGGGTGAAATAAGTTAAAATGAGAACATATTCTAATTGACAGTTGGCCTAAAAGTTTGGCAACACTTTCATATGTAACAACTCACCCAACGTTGGCTTGGTATGAAAAGTTTTTGATTTAGATATATGGCTTCACATTCCTTTTTAGTAACAACATATTTAAACGTTGGAAAAAAAGTTAAAACTCATTTTTTTCTTGACTCCCATCACTCTTCATGTATTGGGATTGGTCAATTTTTTACTTTTTATTTTTTGTTTTCTTTTCTTCCAATCACTCACTGACATGTGTCTGTAGGAGTTGTGGGGGTCAAGAAAAAAAAAAGATCTCTATCATTTTTGTTTAAAGTTATGAGAATAATATTAATATATTTATAAATTAAAAAAAATAAGTTACAAATTTGTTATCAAAGCGGGATGCACCTTCAATTGTGAGAATCATACCACTTTGAATTTCATTTCTCATCGACAACATGTTTTATATATAAATTTTCATCTCTTTTTTCTAATAACGACTTTTAAAATTGCGAGGGCCCAATACAAAGTAGACAATATTATTATGATTCAGGTTTCCTTTAGAAACATGCTAATTTAGTAATTTTTTAGCTATTTAGCTAAAATATGAGCTAAAAAAATTAGTATGTTTGGAATGATTTTTTTGACTTTTTACGAAAAGATGTGTAAAAAGTGGAGAAAAAAGAGAATCTTTGACTTTTTGATATGAATTATTGGTTTTTTGACTTTTTTAATAATTTTTTAACTTTTTAACTAAACCAGCCTGTTGCCAAACGAGGCCCTCAAAATAAAGATGCTACAAATACAAGTATATATTCCTATAAAAATGTTATGCAAACTAATAATTTTTACAATTTTTTTTTTAACAAATTAATGTGTGAGGCATTTCTCTACTCCTCAATTTAAGGTTTGCTTCCAATATTCAATCACCCTCTAAGATAAGGAACATGTTAAAATTTACGTTTTAAGCCTAAAAAAACAGAGGCAGTGGTACCATGGATAAGTGGGCACTAAAATTCAACCCCTCACTAAGTTGTCAACCAATAAAGAAACAAAAAGCTTAAATTTGGAACTCAGAATCATCCCACTGAATTAGGACAAGTGCAAAGTGCGAACTCCATTTTTTTTCTCTCTCTCTTGAACTTTTTATTTGTCACATATCCTCAAGAAATTATTCAGTAGTTATAGAGTAATATTTTATTTTATTTATTGATTGACACATTATACATATTTTCTTAAAATTTCAACATAAAAGTAGTGAATCTTGTAATCTAGGCCAATAACAAAGAATTTAGAGCACCACTCAAATTTACTTTAAAAATATTGAATAATGTTGCCATATGTAGATCAAGTTAGCTTTTGCCAATAACTTGATACACTATCTATTCAAAGACTACCCGTTCAACGCTTTAAACGAAATGGCAAAAGGAAGAAAAATTCATAGATTAACCCTATCATCTTCGGCCGATAGAACTACGAGATCAACCCAAAGATGCCTTTGGTAGCCAAGGGTCACAGATTGACCATAAAAATTTGCTCAACAAGTGGAACACATTAGTTGTCTACTCTCAAGTCAGATAGTAATGATCGAAAAAGAACAATCACTCATTCTTAAAATCAGTGTCCTGCATTCAGCTATTCAATTGGACGACAATGGCTCTTCAATTGGACGACAAAGTTGGGTTTAAAAATGGAGATGGATTGGTGCATATGGATTATTCTACGTGGCATTAGCACTTAACTTTGGGCCTCTCTGTTCCTACAATTTGTGGACTTATTAGTTTTTATTAGAACCCTAACCAGCCCATGGACAAGGCTTCCAACTCCAGACAATAAATCCACAATAATAATTATTTTTTGAGGATTTCTATATATCATCTAAAAAAATTTGTCAAAATTTTTTACTTCTTCCTATGATGGATTCACAATTTTTAAAATACGATGAACCCCATATATACATGTAATAACATATATGAGGTAAAATAAAATAAAAAATTATTTTTTTCATATCTAACATATCAAACTGAGTTTTCCCTCAGACCCTAAAAGGAATTTGAAAAAACAAAGAACATACCTTGGTACAGAAGTTTAATATGGTCTAATTAAATTTGTAAGGGTTATTATAGGCCTTAGGTGTAGTGTGATTCGGATGGTTTAAGAGTAAAATTATAAATTACATAATTGATTGATATATAATCAAACTGAAGTTTGGAGCGGATTAAAGAATATTCTTAATCAATTATTAAACATTTGTATAATATATAACACTAATTTGAATAATATTTTTCATATATATAATACAAACTAATTTTACTTAAAATTTTCCATATATAACTACTAATTTGCATAATATTTTTCATATATATAATACAAACTAATTTTACGTTATATTTTCCATATATAATTACTAATTTGTAACAAATTTCACATGTTAAATCTCTCTCACACTCATTTTCATTTTGATATTTCATTAGAGGTATATATATATATATATATATATATATATGTATGTATTAACTACAGCAGAGTGGAACAATTTTGAAAGCGAATTATAAATTTTAAAATTTAATCCGCGATTAGTAAATAGAACAATATGGATTATTGCAAATCAGTGCGATTTTAACCGATTAAATAATATTTTGCATTGCCCTAGACCTCACCTTAATAATCTTTAGTTATTTATTTTTAAATTAATTACACCAAAACTCTTTCCACTATTAACAAATATAATTTTGCCCTCTCATATATGAACTTGTACACCATTTGTTAATAATTTTACCTTCTCATATATGAACTTTTACACCCTTGACTATGAAAGGGGTTACCTAAAAGTGAAATGATACATTTTTATAGTTGAATGAATTAAGATGTGCGAATTCATAAATAAAAAATATATAATGATATCCTCTTTTGGTGTAACTAACCTAAAATTTTAGAATTGGTTTGGGAATTAATTTTTTTAAGGGGTATTTTGGTCATTTTTGCTCAAGTTTGTCTTTATGGGAAAGATATTTGTGCATCAAATAAAATTTAAATTTAGATTTATGGACCGAATATTTATTTTTATTTTTTTTTTCAAACAAACGTATAAAAAATTAGAAAATAAAAAAAGAGTTAAACTTTTTGTATTCAGCTTTTGACTTTTTGTTTAATTTAAGTTGTTCCCAAACAAGCCTTGCAAGTAAGGTGTGAGCGGTGCAATTCGGGTAATTTGAGAGTAATATTTTAAATCGAATGGTGGATTAGCAGATTGACAAATTAACAAATTGCGGTTTGAGCGACTTTGAGTGAATTGACGGATTAAAGAATATTGTAACATTATCAAGCTTTTAAATAATATATAACACTAATTTGCATAATATTTTTCATATATATAACACAAATTGATTTTACATAATGGTTCTATTTGGTAGGGCTTATTTCTAGTTTATTTCAGCTTTTAGCTTAATTTAAACTATTTTGATGCGTTTGGTTCAGCTTAACAATACAACTTATAACTTTTTGTAAGTTAAAAATCAGTTTATTCTTTGAGGGGAGAGGATAAGCTTAATTTATAAGTCAAAAATCAACTTATGTTCACAGTTATAAGTTATAAGCTGTTAAGTTATAAGTTATAATCACTTTCCCACAGTTCTACAGGGTCAATATTTTTCATATACATAACAACTAATTTTTAATAAATTTCATATTTTAAATCTCTCTCATATTTACCTTCACTTTAATATTTTATCATAAGTTAATTTCAAAAACAGATTATAAATTTAAAAATTTAAATTGCGACTAGGAAATAGAGAGTGCGAATTAATACAGATGAGGCCGATTTTAACGGATTGAGCAGTAATCCTACTTGCAAGAATATTATCTAGCACCACTGGATAATTAATTACTTTACACCGTCCGGTGTCTCGTGCCCAGCCTCGAAACCAACCTCCGCCGCTAACGGTCACCATCCGCCAAACTTTCCCGCCATGGATCTCCTACACTCATCAGCCTGTCGATTCCCTACAAGCCACTTCCTCCACCTTCACCGTCCTTCTCCGCCTCTTCGACGCCTCGGCTTCACCGTCAGGTCTCTCCGCCATTCGACTCTTCTTCTTCGAGCATCTCTCTCTGTGGTTCGCGTGTTCCCCCAAATTCTAGGGTTTGTAGATGCTCTTCACTTTCGTTTTTTCTGATGGATTTTCAGGTCGAGCCTTCCGTTTCCTGATCAGAATGCCAAGTACCACAGAGAGCTTCAAGCTGCCGTGGATGTTGTCGAGAGAGCTTGTCGTATTTGTGTCGATGTAATTTATCAACTTCCCATTCTTTTTTAATGTTAAGCCCCCTGTTTGGTTCTCGAGAAAATTTTGTAAAATAAGGATTAATTTCTCTTTTATTCCTTAAATAAACTATTATTATTATTATTATTATTATTATTATTATTATTATTATTATTAAACTATCAATTTCATTTATTTAGTCCCTAAATTTTTTAATTTTAGATAATGTAATCTAATTAGAAGATTGTCCCAATCAGTAACTGCCTAATTACAATCCAACACTTATTTTTTCTTCACTATTTTGAAATGAGGGGGTAGAGAAAAAAATTGGTGTTTGCTTGTATGGTTTATGTTGTCCAAATTGTAAAATTACCTTTTTGCCTATTAGATTAGGTTTTCACCATTACTGATATGGACAGATTATCTCTAATTGCACCATATAAACTGAAATTAGAAGCTTCAGGGATTATACTGATGAAGTCTATAGTTTAAGGATGAAGTAGAAAATTGCACCATATGAATTGAAATTAGAAGCTTTAAGGATTAAATACATGAAAATCTATAGTTTTTTAAAGATGGAACAGAGAAAATGACAATAGTTTAGGGGATAAAAATGAAATTGACTCTTAAAATAAAAGTGCCATTTCAATTAATGGGTGTATTGGCATCTTCTCGCATACTTGAGATGGGCTTTACATTTCATGGAAACTGAAACAGCAAAACAACTTGAAATTTGAACTTCAATTTTTTATTTTTTTTTTCTTTTCCCACATTTTCTGAGCCACCTAACTGAGACTGTGGTAATATTTTTTTGTTGTTCTTTGTGTGATGACCAGGTGAAGAAGTATTTGTTAACTGGTGATAGAAGGATTCTTGAAAAGAATGACCAAACTCCTGTCACTGTGGCAGATTTTGGTGTTCAGGCTCTCATCAGTTTGGGTAATTCATTTCTTTCTCTTCTTGTTGTAACTGTTCATTTTTCATGGAAAGTTCCATCTTAATGTATTAGTGCCAATTTAGTTTGATGCTCAACTACCAATGCCCCAATTAGAAAGAATGGCACTAGTTGTACTGAGGTTAATGTTAGGAGGCGATGGAGACATTAATTAACTTGGGTTGATATTAGAAATAAGAAAGAAAAATATTTGAGCTTGCTGTTTAACTGAGATTATGTACTCTCATCAAGCATAATGGGAATGGCAAAATTAGAGTCATATGGCCGACCTCAAGTAGTTGGGAAAGGCTTGGTCGAGATAGTTGAGTTTTAATGATCAACTGTCTATTGGGGTTAGCTTTTTTACAAAATCAATCCTTTTACACCCGTAATTTATGTTTACCATGATTACAATACCAACCAACCAGATGAAAATAAGTCACGGTGAATTTTTTGGAGATCAAATTTGATGCCATTGGAAGAAAGCCCAGACACATGGACACTCCATTCAATATAAATAAATATTGTTGTTGCTAGTCTATTTTCCTGGCAACACTTACAATCATAATTGAATTGACTCCTTAATTTGGCACTAATAAACTGTAGCTTAATTGGATATATTGGAAACTTATCATATTGCTGCATCATATTTGTGTGTTCCTTCCTATGAGGTGACACATGGAATTACCAAACATTGCCATGTGTGCCAGTTGAGGCTAATATATGTAGTGTCTTAGCCTCAAGCCAAAGCAGTTCGGGGGCAAGGAAGCCCCAAGCACGCTTGTCTATCTCCCAATCAGTCAAACTAGTCCTCCATGTTTCCTTTGACCCTCCTTCTACTTGTCGAGTAGTTCTCTACCTGAGTGTGTTTCTCGTCTAATTTACACTCGATTCTCCAAACAACACCCCGATGCTCCTAGGTCTACCTAGGTCAAGAAGTGGGTCTAGAAACCCCCTTGAGGTTGGTGTTGCAACTTGCAATCATGAGGTGCTTGAGCTACCTCGTGGCCTCAATTGAGTACGCTTGACCAACATTGTAGCCGCTTAGCTATAGCCTATGAGAATTCCTAGTGTCACTACTATTGGTTGTTACCTCCAGGTTGTTGGGCCAATCAAAGAGAACCACTTGTCTCTTTCTCTTCATTTAGGTATGTGACCAAGGAAGCTGACCTCTGTTTTTTGACCCTCCTATAAATAGGAGACCTTTGCCATGCATGCAAGATGTTCATCCTCTCCATCTCTTACCCAAGAAGCTTAATTGTCTGTATCCACACTTTGATCACTACTTTGTTTCTCCTACTTGGAGATTGCATCTGCTCTCACCCAGCAAATCCAGAACAGTTGTGTTCCTGGAAGGGAGACTCCAGCGCCTCCTGTGCCTCTGGAACCATCTCCAGTTACCCAATGTCGTCTCAGAGACTGTCATACTTCCCAGAAGGCTCCCTAAGTAACCCATGTAGCCTCCATGCACAACTATTTTCACGACCTTCATGCATTTTTGTGCCAACATTCATTTAACCGAACTTTTACCATGGTTTCCCTAGAATTATAATTCCGGGGAACCAAGGGAGAACAACCACCCTCACTAGCTTTGTTCTGACATTAGCATAAATCTTTTTCCTCGGCACCATATGAGTCTCTTTTGAGCTACATAGTAAAGCAACTCAAACCCCATTTTAGTAAAGGATACTTATTTAGCTGTCCTTAGATCTAATCTAACAAATGCTTTTCCAATTGTCCTCTCAAATTTCCACAATATATATATATATATATATATTTTGTAGGAACTATATATTTTCTTATTCGCCTATATCTCGTTTCTTTGCATTTTATTTTTACTTCCGATGACAGAGCTGAGCAAATTGTTTCCTTCTATTCCATTGGTGGCTGAGGAGGACTCTGCATCCTTGCGTTCGAATAATCTAGTAACTTCTGTTGTGAATACGGTTACTGATAAAACAAGCTTTAGAGAGAAACAATTGACAGAAGCTGATGTGTTGGAAGCAATTGATAGAGGGGGAAAGGATGCCTTTTCATTCGGACCTATGCCAGCCACTTATTGGGTAAGTTTATGTAAATCTTTAACTCTTTTACCCCTAGGATTTTATACAATCAAAAAGTTTAGAAATTTACTTTCTCTCTGTTCCAAAAAGATTGCTGAGAATTGGTCATTTGTAATGCCTGTTCATATGTATTACGTTAACTATTATGATATTTTGAACCCTCCTAATTTACATATTGACTACTCTTGTGCATGTGAATAAGGCAATACCCTGCTATGGCCCCAAGAATCTTTGTCCGACATGATTCACTTACTTTCCTACTGAAAAAAAAAAAAAAAGTATTTATTACCTAGTCTTAAGGCTTCGTTTGGGAACCTTTCCTTTTAGTCAAAAAGCCAAAAAGTTACTAAATTAGCCAAAAAGCCAACAACCCATACCAAAAAGTCAAAAATTCTTTTTTCTCTCTACTTTTTGCACATCTTTTCATAAAAAGCCAAAAAGTCATCCCAAACATACTAGTTTTTTTTAGTTCATATTTTAGCCAAATAGCCAAAAAGTTACTAAATTAGCCTGTTCCCAAACGAGGCCTAAGCTTTGTCTTTGGAATTACTTTGGATTTATTAAGTTGATAGACTTGGTACAGATACTTGATCCAATTGATGGCACACGGGGGTTTGTCAGAGGTGGTGACGCTTTATATGTGGTATGTACTACCTTTTGGTCATCTTAGTTCATCATTCTTTTTGCTGCGATTAAAATCTTTGCTTTAGTTTTATGAATTGTCGGTGAATTAAGAGTTTGGGAAAAGGAATATGTGGCTGGCTCTAGCTCACTTGTCCCAGAAGGACAAATCTGTAATGGATTGCATGTGAATTATTTCTTACATAATTGAATGCATTTTTTGTTAGTGTTTAAATTCTGTTTAAGATCAAATTGATGCTAGGCAGTATATATAAGTTATAACTGCTAACTGAGGCCAAAGATAATCATTTATCAAGAACTGGCATTCTATTTTGGGGCCAACTCCAAGTCATATTTTCACCACTGAATGCAAAATTGGCCAGAAAATAGGGCACACATTTTTTTGTGTGTTGCAAGTGGGGTTTCAATTTTGTTGACCATGCAATGGAGTATTTTACTTAAAATAATAATAAGAGTATCATTCTTAAATTGCGTGAAATATGAGCTGTGAAAAAATGTAAATAAAAAAAATTGATTAAGATAAAAACCCTTTCGAACTTTTTCATCATAAAATCCATTGACTAGGTTATCAATAATTTCAGTAAAAGAAGATATAGTTTCTGTAAAAATAAAATGAAAGTAAGAATGACATGCCAGAACAAATACACAGAGCCAAGAATATGAAATTACAGACTTCTAAGATAACAATTGGTAAGGAAATGAGAAAGATAAATATGAATAGCAATGGAAGAGAAAGCTAATAGAGAATAGTATATAATATGCAAGAAGACGGAATTTGGGTGGCCTTGTTCTCTTTGTTACTAAGACTAAAATAAATCTTTCTAATTATTAGAATTTTTTTTTTTTGAACAAAAAATGGTAGATTCCTTAATTAAATAGACCACATTTATATGTTAAAAAGAGAGGATATTTTGCTTATGTTTTTTTTTTTTTAATTCCTAGTTTAATATTTTCATTTCACTATCATTTTTTTTATTAGTTATACGTTGGATATATTTGGTTCTATGTCACACCAAGTTTCTTGTTATCTTCCTTGGCAAAGAGTAAACTGGAATTTTCAGGTAGGCTTGGCTCTAGTAGTTGAAGGAGAGATTGTATTAGGTGTTATGGGCTGTCCTAATTGGCAGGAAGATAATTCCAGCAAATCCACGAAAGAAGCCCTGGAGTCTGCACATACTCTATCTGAATCAGGAATCATTATGGTTTCTCATATTGGCTGTGGAACATGGACAAAACAATTATCTGGTATGATGAGTAGCACCACTAAAATTCCTAATAATTGGGCCAGATGCTCTGTTGATAGCTGTTGCTTAGTTCATGAGGCACGCTTTTGTAGTCTAGATGGTCAAACATGGGACTCATTGCCTCTATCCACTTCATTTGATGCAACTACTGATGCTGAGAGTATCAATGATAAACTGGTTCTCCTTCTGCCTGCATGTTGTGGAAGGTTTGATTTTCCTCCATTGGAATACATTCTCTAATCATTTGCATTACTTGTACCTTTTATTGTCATATGCTGTGAAATTGTGTATATTGCCCACCCCTTGCTATTTGCATTGGCTTGAAATTTTGATTGCTTATATTCCCTGATATATAGTTCACTGGTTGTCATTTCTTCTAGACATGGAATTCCACAAGTTTAAAAAAGGATGGAATAATTTGCAAACGAGAACATTTGCCAATATATATATGTATATGCACACAAGAACTTCTGTGACACATGGAGTTCCTGCTAAGCTCAATGATGTTGTCACAGCCTTTATGTTTATGCAAAACATGTCCTAATTTGTGAAATTAAGGTTTCTAGTAAGAGTCTCATTGTCTCAGGTTCTCAGCTATTATCTTGCATACATGGCAATGTTTACACATGACACAGGAGACATGCATTTTTCAAACATAGCTAATTGCATTTTTATGTATATTGTGAGATATAATTGGTGATTATAACCAGAGACAGTATCAACTTGTGAAATAAATCATCATATTCTTATGATCTAATTGTCGGTACATGTATCTAGATCTCCAAGGCATGCCACATAATCACCAAGTCACCATCTCCATGACACATGGACCAATCATATATCTCTGTATGCTCCCCTCTGGGGTTGAGCCATGCCGGCCCAAGCTAATGTATGTGTTGCCCCAGCCCCAATCGTAGTTGTTTAGCACCTCTAGAGGCAACTCCCTGCTTGATCGCCCAAAGACATTTGAGGCATCCTGTTGGCTCAGCCAAGGGAAACTATGCTTGAGTGCATCATCTCTCCCACTCATCGTGACATGCTTGGTACCCCTGGCCCTGCCAAATGACCGCAACTTGAACATATTCCTCGTAAGCCTCGGTCCCTTATCTCCAAGGTTATTTCCAATTACCTCCAAAAGGCACCCTAATGCTCTCATGTCAGCCTACTTGGGTGTAGGGTCTAGCCTAGGGGGCCCTGTTGAGGATGGTGTTGCGGTCATGGAGTGCTCGAGCAACCGATCCTTCCTTCCATGAGACTTCTTGGCATATGTGGCTTGGTGGCTAGAGTTGAGGGTTCATCAAGACACTTGTCCCCTCCCTCTGGGGACTTGCACTTTCGCTGGTCTTGGGGAGAAAGCTCCACTAGAAAACCAAACTCTAGATCATGACAAAGACGTGGTGTGCTCTAAATCTCTCCATAGTTGAGAAGCACACCTGACCGCTGTTGCATCCATTAAGTCCATTGAGTATTTCAACATCTATGACCACTAGTGGCTGCTACCTCCAGGTTGTTGAGTTAAAGAGGACAAGCCACCCGTATCCTTGTATCCATCTGAGCACCTGACCACTTGCTCTCAGGTGAGTTGGTCTCTAGGATTTGATCCTCCTATGCATGTGTGAACAAGGTTCTGCTTTAGCAAGCTTAAAGGCCAATGTCACTTGTACACAAATCTAAGACCACCTCAACTCTCACCCCTTTCACCTCTAGTGGTCCTCCGCCATCTAAGTGCCTACCTATGAAGCATGGACACACCAAAATGGAAGCCGTGGCGATGTCGGATACGGGGACACGCTGGGGACATGTACGGGACACGGCAGATGGCGTGTCCCTTTAATTTAATTTAATTTATTTATTTTTTTTGCAAGGGACACGGCGGGGACACGCATGTCCAAATCTGGACACGCCATGGGCTTAGTTGCAGCTTTGCTCTAGCCCAAGATGGGATTGTAAAGGAGGGGAGAGAGAGAGAGAGAGAGAGAGAGAGAAACCTGGTAGTAGCTTTGCTCTAGCCCTAGCCTTCGCCTTCGACATTTAGTGGTAGCAGCTTTGTAGTTGGATTGGATTAGTGCTGAGATTAGGGCTTTGTCTAAGGTCTTCGATCATCTGAGGCCTTCGCCTTCGCCTTCGCCTGCCGATCTCGATCTCTGAGGGCTTCGTCTCTGTTCTCTCTCTCTCTTCGATCGTCTTTGTTTCGTCTCTATTCTCTCTCTCTCTTTCTCTCTCTCTGATCATACATAATATATATAATATAATTTATCATATTATATATATATATAAAATAAAATTTATAAATTATAATTTTTATCATATATAATGAAATATCTACTGGTTATTCTTAAAATATCATATATAATAATATTTTTTTTTGCAAATTATCATTTCTTAACTTTTTAACATATAATAAAAAAAATAAATCATCCAATTATTTAAAAGAAATCTAATTAAATCATATATAATAAAAAATTTATAAAATAAAATATCGAACTTTTCTTTTTATTTATTTTAACATATTTTATTATTCCTTATTTGCTATGAAGCACGGGTACGGATACAAGTACTAGTATTGGTACGATACGGGTATGTTAATATGATAAAATTCAAAAAAACATAAGGTGCAGGTACAGCTTGGTATGCTTGTAAAAAAATATTTATTTTTAATTTAGAGTAATGCAAAAATTAATTAAATGGTTTAATTTGTTAACGTTCAACCTACAATTAACATTTAATGTCAAAAATAAAGATATAAATCAAAATTAAATGTCAATATATTAAATAACTTATAAACAATAGTTTAATTTAAAATCATGCTAAGTATAAAACAAAAAATAAAAAAAAAATTTAGTGAAAGGTGTTTTATCTCTGTAGTAGAAGAAAATATTATTTCAACTGAGGTACGGTACGGCTTGAGTATATACTAGGTACGTCTTGGTATGTCAAAAATTAAGAAGAAAAAACTTGGGTACGTGTTTCGCATACCCGGTACGTATGCAGAAGTACCATACGAGATACCATATGCTGGTAAGTACCCCGTATGGGTACGGCATATTTTTCGAAATACTCATGCTTCATAGCTTATTTGTTATATTTTTTTATTTATAATATATATCAATTAAAAATAAAAAAATAAATTAATAATAACACATTATTTAAAACATATAATAAATAAATAAAAATAAAAATATTTATAAAAAATATTAAAAAATTTGCCGTGTCCCCTGCCGTGTCCGTATCCCCATTTTTTAGAAATTGCCGTATCCCGTGTTCGTGTCCGTGTCCGTATGCGTATGCGTATGCGTGTCCGTGTCCGTGTCCGTGTCTGTGTTTCATAGGTGCCTACCGTACTTGTAGAGGGCTCCAAAAGCTGGCCTACTCACCCTCAACCATCCACTCTAATCCTAAAAGGAGACTTCTTTTTTTTTTTTTGTTTTAACTTTTAATTAATTTTGTCACACTGAATGGCTTTATTTCTTTTGTTCCCTAATTAGAGAGCATATTAGATTTGTACCACTTTCTTTGTCGTGGTCTTTGCATGACACTCTTAAAACTTTTTCTCAAGAGAACCAGATAATTGATTATCGTCTCACTATTTGTTTTATGGTGTTCTTATACATTGCATCTGATACAGTTGGGTGTTTTTTGTATGTAGTTTGTGCAAGTACTTAATGGTGGCCTGTGGTAGGGCATCTGTTTTTATCCTCCGTAAAAGGGCTCAAACAATTGTCCAGGTATCCTTTTAATCTCTAGGCACCACCGAGTACTAAATTTTCCGAGGCATGACTTGATTCTTCAGCTCATTTAAAATTACAGGCTTGGGATCATGCTGTTGGGATGATATGCGTGCATGAAGCAGGGGGAAAGGTGTGCATCTCCCCACAGGGTTTTTTTTTTTTTATAATAATAATAATAATAATAATAATAATAATAATAATAATAATAATAATAATAATAATAATAATAATAATAATAATAATAATAATAATAATAATAATAATAATAATAATAATAATAATAATAATAATAATAATAATAATAATAATAATTGAAGAGAACATCTTGTTTTTGGTAAATAAAACAGATGAAAATGCACACATGCTCGCACAGAGGCAACTTGGCTATTGATTTAAAAAAAACCAGTATAGCACTTTGATTTTCAGCATTTTTATGTTTATTGCATTTATGTGACATGTCATGTGAAGAAGAAAATAAATCCAACAAGAGATTTTCTTTTCTTCCTTCCATTCATAATCATATCATATTAAGAAGTCTCAAGTCTGTTTATGGTTATTATAGTAATGTTTGGGTGGTCATTACAATATTTTCCAAATAATTTAATTCTCTCTAAGTTTGACATGAGGATTAATCTGTTGTCAGGTGACTGACTGGAGAGGGAGTCAACTTGATCTTGCAGCAGATCAAGTTGACCGGAGGTTCATATATCCTTCAGGTGGTGTTCTTGTTGCAAATAGCAGCTTACATAGCAAACTACTAGAGTTGATCTCGTCTAGCTCGTCAGTTGTTTGATGGCATCGGGTACTCAATCCTATCATTCATTTATTTTTATTTCCATTAATCAATTATTTGATTTCTACAATTCTTGTGGCTTCCCTTATGTCAGTTTTTCTGAGATCCTCATTTTTATTTTACTTTTGAATTTTTATACAAAATCATTCATGTAAAATGTTGTGTACCAATAAAATTATGCGAAAAATAAATTCTAACTAATATATGTAAACTTGTTTTTTAGAGAGAATTATGATAGGTAACAGAACTCCACATCTTCATTTAAAGGAGAAGAAAATGTTCAGAACAGGGCAGATTAGCTGAAGTTCATGTATGCCAAACTTTCATACCTGCACTGAGAGCACTAAAAATACTTCCATGCAATTGTATCAATCATAATAATTTTCAATTAAACCCTACAAAAATCAGAAATTTAATGCAATTTAGTCAACCAAAGGAATTTTGGTGGGGCTCATGTTATAAAAATCAGTTGTCAAGTGTCGGCAGCTGCTGATTTCAAATCCAAAATTAGTCTGCTTAAGAATGGAAAAGAAAGTAGCTTGAAGAGGACCGTTGTTTAAATGCTTGTAACGGCTTGTCTAAGATCTTTATATCTTTATGACAAAAAACAAATCATTTTGTTCAATAATGGTAAGATGGGTTATCATAAGAGCCCCTTTCCAACTCGAGTATGGAAAGTTATAAAAGCCTTTATATCTTTATGACAAAAAACAAATCATTTTGTTCAATAATGGTAAGATGGGTTATCGTAAGAGCCCCTTTCCAACTTGAGTTTGGAACGTTATAAAAGCCCCTTTCCAACTCAAGTATGGAAAGAATTTATAACTTTGGAGGGAAAGATGGACTGAGCTTTGTAGATCTGCAAACTCTAGTTCACAGATAAGGTTCTAAAATTTAATGAAGGATGACTTTGAATGCAGAGTTTGCTTGTGGGGGCAATTATTGGTTACTTATTATATCCAACTTTGGCAACTGTACCGAAATTTAAGGGATCAAAATACAGAGTTGGGTGATTTTATACCTTTGAGAATTTGAGAAAACCCTAACTTAGCTTCAGGATATTAGATATATAACCTTGCACCATAATGGGTTAAACTTGGCTTAAATTTAAGCCTTTAAAATGAAGTCCAGGATTTAGTTACAGTTGCTTAGAATTTATTATTATTATTATTCTGTTTTGTTCTTTTCTATAACCTCCCTGCACCTTCTTTGTATCGTCATCTGAGCACACGTAGTTCACTAACACCTAAACAATGGTAGTGCACAACTTGTTAAGTTTTTATATGGACACAAATTATAAGAAATATTCAGTCCAGTTTGGTGTCTTGAATTGACATACTCATATTTTTTGAAAACATGAGAAGCCAACAGGGGGAATATTGTGGGAATTTATTGATAAGAAAGTAAAATTTAAAGATCACAAGAGTTGCAGCCTAGGACTCTTGCCTTGTCTAGCTCTTTGAATAAGAAAACCATGAACCCTAAAACAGTAAAGACTTGAAAACTTTGCTGTCATTATAATGTCTCAGTTGACAGAAGAAATCATTAAACAGTTTACTGCTGGCAATTCGCCTAGAATGGATATTAGCATATTATGATCCTTTCATGAGGAAACATGAACTCCCGAGTCCAATTCATTTTGGCTGTGGATAGAGGACTTGAAGTGGTTCTTTTATGGTTATGATAACAACCATATACCTGTTTTGATTTTCTTCAAGATTTAATACTAAGATCTCTGTGATTTATCCCATATTGTAAGAGAAGGGTTATTGATTTTTTGAGAAGTCCACTTATTAACTTGGAACTAAAGCTGGATAGTGCTTATTGCTTTCAACTTGTCACATGGTTATGTAAAAGCCATAGTTTTATCTTCACATGAGACTCATATGAACATCCTATTGTAATTTTGAGTTGTTGGGCCAAAACTGTTCAAAATCAAGTTACGTTTCTCACCCATTTGCTTAGTTTAACATGTAGAGTTCCTTCTTCCTTTTTTTTTTTTTTGAGGTCTGTGACATTAGTTTGCTAGCTATAGTTTTGAAATTATCAGAAATTAGTAAATGAAGTAGATGAAAACTCTTGCTGTTCAATAGTGGGTCATTTTTATATTTAATAGAAGAGTTATGAAGAAAAATATTTGCATTGTCAAGGTCATAATATTTATGTTAATTTGTTGAAGTAAGTTAAATGTGGCTCCTCCTTGTATATTACCCACTTACTAGTGGCTGGTTTTACAAGTGATTACCAAGGTGGGTAATGAATATGATATACCTTGTATGTTCTGAACCCTCACCAAGAGAAAAAGGAAAAAAAAAAAAGAAAAAGAAAAAAAGAAGAAAAAGAAAACGAAAAAGAAAGAAACACAATAATGTATATGCATCGGCATGGAATGCTTAAACTAAGATGTGAATACTAGTTATCGATATGTGTCTATGAAAGGCACATTCTTCCCTCTTAAGCCTCTCTAGTGTGATCATATGGTAAAGAGGGGATTTGAGACAAATGAGAGGGCGGTGGTTTACCCAAACTTAAATGCTTATTGACATGTAAGTTTGTCACTGATTTCTCTTTGATCTGGAACCCTTCTCTACGTTTCAATCAATCTAATATGGGACACCTTTTCTCCTAGAATATATCAGGAAATATTGTTAACGTTTACGACTTTTGAATTACTGGAAATAGAGAAGTGCAGGTCAATATTTGGTGTTCTGATGGAGACTGTTGAGTTGGTGCTTGTGCGGGAGTTATGGGGTGAGAGGCATGTAGAGTGGGCGTTCCAACCAGCTATTGGGGTGGCTGGAGGTATTCTCATGTGTTGGGATAATAGAGTGGTGGCGATGGAGGAGGTATAAGTAAGGGGTTTCTCACTGTCCTATTTGGTCAGATGCCTTGAGGATGATTTTCGGTGGGTGTTCACTAGGGTTCATGGCCCAGTTCGGGGTTCAGAACGGGTTGCTTTCTGGGAGGAGTTGCAGCATGTTGCTTTCAGATGGGGATTGCCGTGGTGTGTTGGCGGAGATTTTAATGTCATTAGGAGCCCGGTGGAAAGGTCTGGGGAAAGTCCGATGGGGAGATCTATGAGGGATTTTGCAGCTTTTATTGATGAGATGGAGTTGGTAGATTTGCCATTACAGGGGGGCGGTTTTACCTGGTTGGGTGGTCGAGCTAGTTCTCGGCTTGATAGATTCTTGGTGTCTCGGGTTTGGAGGAGCATTTTTCTTAGATGCTTCAATGCCGATTACATCGGCCGACTTCAGACCATTGGCCAGTTCTGTTGGACAGTGAGGGAGTCCGGAGTGGTACTTCACCTTTTCGGTTTGAGAACATGTGGTTACAAGCAGATGGTTTTGCTGCGACGGTGGGTGGTTGGTGGGAAAGTTACAATGTGGTCGGTTCCCCCAGTTATAGATTAACTCATAAATTGAAACTTCTTAAGTCTGATTTGAAGAGGTGAAATTTAGAGGTTTTTGGCCGCTTGGAGGTTCAGAAGTCAGATATCTTGTCAGTTTTGCAAGGTTTGGATGCGTAGGAATTAGATGGAGAGCTCACTGAGGAGAATGTGGCAGTTAAGGAGGAGGCTCGGAGAGATTATATGCGGGTAGCCGGGATGGAGGAGATTAGTTTCCGACAGAAATCTCGATGCTTGTGGTTGAAAGATGGGGACCGTAACACAAAGTTTTTTCTTCGTATGGCTAATGCTCATCGGCGGGTGAACTAGATAAGGAGAATGCGGGTGAATGGGGTGATGCTTTCTTCAGAAGAGGAGGTCAGGGATGGTATAGTGGCATTCTACCAGCATTTGTTCTGTGATGAGGGCCAGATTTGGAGACCGAGGTTGGAGGGTGTAGTTTTTGATTCTGTTTCTGTGGAGGATGGGATCTTGTTAGAAAGGCCTTTTACTGAGGAGGAGATCTTAGGTGCGTTGCGGAGCATGCCTGGGGACAAGGCACCGGGTCCGGATGGTTTCTCTATTGCTTTCTTTCAGTAGTGTTGGAAAGTGGTCAGAGGGGAGGTGTTGGATGTGTTTGCACAGTTTTATCAATCTGGGCAATTTGAGAGGAGTTTGAATGCCACTTTCATAGCTTTGATTCCCAAGAAGGGGAGGGGGGGCAGAGGATATTCGTGACTTTTGGCCTATAAGTCTTTTGGGTAGTGTTTACAAATTATTGGCTAAGGTGTTAGCTAATAGGCTTCGAGGGGTGTTAGAGGGGGTCGTTTCAGAATCTTATAATGCTTTTGTGGGTGGGCGACAGATTTTGGATGCTGTGTTGGTGGCAAATGAGTGTGTGGACTCCCGGCTTCGGCAAGGGAAATGGGGGCTAATTTGTAAGCTGGATATTGAGAAGGCTTATGACAATGTAAATTGAGAGTTTTGATGTACATGCTGGAAAGGTTGGGTTTTGGAGCACGGTGGCAGAGGTGGATACATTTTTGTATTTCCATCGTTCGATTGTCTGTCCTAGTTAATCAGACACCGGTGGGTTTCTTCCCCACTTGGAGAGGCTTATGGCAGGGAGACCCGTTATCTCCATTACTGTTCATTTTGGTTATGGAAGCGTTGAGTCGTTTGTTGTCTAAGGCGGTCCAAGGGGGCTTATTATCGGGCTTTATGGTGGGGGAGGTGCCTGCTTGTTTGCGGGTTTCTCACCTATTCTATGTGGATGATGCGTTGATTTTTTGCGATGTGAATGCTACGCCGATTGGTCACTTGCAGTGTGTTCTGTTATGTTTTGAGGCAGTGTCAGGGTTGCGGGTTAATTTATCAAAATCAAAATTAATTCTTGTGGGTGCGGTGGCTCGGTTACCGGTGTTGGCAGCCGTTTTGGGCTGTAAAGTGGCACAGTTGCCAGTTTCTTATTTGGGTCTTCCTTTGGGGGCTTCTTTTAAGAAGTAAAGTGTGGGATGGGGTGGTGGATAGAGTTCAGCGATGGCTAGCAAGGGTGGAAGCGCTAATGTTTGTCAAAAGGAGGGCGTATTACTTTGATTAAGAGCGTTCTCTCCAGTATTCCGACGTACTTTATGTCTGTGCATGTGATCCCTATGGGAGTGGCTAAGAGATTGGAGAAGTTGCAAAGGGATTTTTTGTGGAGTCAGGGTGGGGAGGGTTTTCATTATCATTTGGTAGCTTGGGAGAGGGTGTGTAATTTGAAAGAGGGGGGGTTTGGGTGTGTGAAAATTAGTAGCTTTTAATCGGGCTTTAT